CCAGGAAGAAGGAAGCTCATGAGTCAGGGGTCCAGGGTGTGGTGGTGAGGGGGGCTCTGCAGCCTGAGAGCATGCTCTTCTTCCTGTTCTTGTGGCTGTCCCTCTCTTTGTCTATCTCCTCCCCAAGTCTCCCTCCCTGTCCCTCCATTACCCTCTCTCTCCCATCGGACCTCCCCTCTATGCCCTGTCCCGAGAGCTATGCCTAGGGTGGAGGGGCCAGGTCTCACCAGGGAGGGATCCGGGCCGGGTTGTCCAGCTGCTTGAGGTTGAAGGCATGCTTAGAAACCTGCCGGACCTCCCCATCCCAGGCCTGCACCTCCTGCTTGCGGGAGGCTGAGTCGGCTGAGAGCAGGGCCTCCACTGCACTGGTCACCTGGGAGAAGCAGCAGGTCAGACAGCAGCCAGCCCCATCCCACCGGCCCCATCTTCCTTGGTCCTTGGCTTTGCCAATGCTGCCCACGCCATCACTACCCCAGCCCTCCTGACCTAGAACTGTTCTTGGGGTGGAAAACATTCCTACCCGATCCTGGACAATGTCCGGCAGTCCCCCCAGACCATCCCGGGCGATCTCCAGGTAGTCCGGCAAAATGACAATCTTCACGTCCTCGTCATATTCAAACTTTTCCTCAGAGAGATCAAACCCACCTTCGACACCTGGACAGCCAGGGAAGAGGACAGTAGGACACCCAGTACAGTCAGGGTCCTCCTCCAACGGCTCCTCACCCTGTCCCCTCAGAACACTCAGTCACCAGTCAGGCCCTCGTGCCTCTGAGAGCTGGAAAGACCAGCTCAGGGAGGAGAACTGGACTGCGGCAGTACTCACCAATAGCCAACCGGGTGGGCTTCTTACGGGGTGGGTCTCCGGTGCCCGCAGTAGCATCCTCTTCCTTCTGTAACCGATAGAAAGAGCAGATCAGCAATGAACTACGGTAAGGAACAAACGGGGACCATGGAGGAAGGGAGTGGTTAATCTCAGAATGGAATGATGATGTGGGAAAAAAAAAAATCTGTGCCAATTTGTTTTTCCAGTACTGGTGAATGAACCCCAGGGCCTTTGCACTGAGCTACAAACTGCAGGCCTTTTTTATTTTGAGACAAAGTCTTGCTAAGTTGCCAAAATACCCAGGCTGGACTCAAACTTGTGATCTCTCTACCTCAGTCTCCCAGAGTGGTGGGGGTCACAGGAGCACATCACCATGCCCAGTATGTGGCAAGTTTTAACCACACAAACGAAAGTAGGGAGAAACTGAAAGCAATAAGGGGTTGGATGGAACAGCCAGATTTCAAGCGAGTACCCAATGGAATGTGAATACACCCAGCCCCCATCCCATGTGCCTACTGGGCGCCGGGTCCGCCGGAGGTGCAGGTAGACACGCTGGCCAGTCTTGTTGAAATGTCTCTCCACATACTGCTTCCCGAAGCCCAGGAATGTGTTCATACAGATGTAGAGGCCACCCTCAGACTCCTGCAGGGCACGAAGCAAAAGAAGAAACACAGATGAAGCCTGGCCGGGTAGGGAAAATAAGGACCTGGAGTCAGAAACTGCTGGCTTCCAAAAGGTTCTGTTCTCTAGCAACTGGGTGGCTCCTCTACCTTATTTAGTGTTACTGTTGTTTTCTTTTTTCTTTCTTTCTTTTTTTTTTTTTCTGTTTTTTTTGAGGCAAGATCTCACTCTGTAATTCAGACTGGCCTTGAACTTGCAGTAAGTGATCTTACTGCCTCAGCCTCCCCAGTGCTGGGATTAGAGCTGTGTGTGCAACCATGCCTGACTCTTATTCAGCCTTTTTAGGACCTGGAACCTAAGATTCGCCCCCATTTCCTCCTATGACTTTGCCAATAACCAGGAAGGACATCAGGAGGCTGAACAACATGTCTCAGTCACCATGCATCTTCCCTCCTGCTCCTAGGGCTTTGGAACCCAGCAATCACAGCCAACCAGAGGGCTCCATTTATCTTTCTTTCTTTATTTATTTTGAGACAGGGTCTCACTATGTAGTCTAGGCTGGCCTTGAACTCACTATGGAGTCCAGGCTGGCCTCAAACTCACAGCAACACCCTACTTCATCTCTTTTCTGAGGCCAAGAGATCCGGAACGTAAATGGGGACCAAACTCTAGGCTTCCAGTTCAAGGGACTGAATTCAGAGGGAAAAGGGGTCCTTTCCTGGGAGACACTGATGCCAGACCTGGGACTCCAAAAACAAATACTACCTCATTTCCATAACTCAGAACCATTCCAGACATCAGGGAAAGATTCCAGCACCAAACAGTACGCCTAACCCTGAGACTCCCAACAGGCCACATCTTTCCTCTACCACATTCTGCCTGACAGTCTCGCCATCCTGTCCTGCTGAGCCTGGCTCCAGGGAACAATGACTTGTTTACAAGTCGCAGCTAAACCAGCCCATCTGGAAGGTCATCAAGTCTAGCATGCTACAGTCACCAGCAAGGCCTTTCCCTTCCCTCCCCTCTGACCAATACATAAGATTCTCCACCAAAGTCCAATTAACCTCCAACCTCAAAGCCATCACCCCCTGTAAAACAATCAGGCAGGAACTGCTGAGACAGTTGTACAAAAGAACTGAGTGAGACAAGTGCCCACCCAGAATCCCAGCTGAGATGATGGGCTTACCCCAGAGCCGAGCAAGTCTATCAGTCCCTTTGCAAACAAGAGTGATGGTGAAGGTGGGAGAGGAACTGAGACAATGAGTCTTGCCTTCAAGGTTGTGAGCAACAGGCATCCTTTTCCCAGAATAAAAGTCTTAGTGGCCTTGAAATTTTTCTCTGCTGATATATAAAAAACAGGGCACAGTCTAAGACAGTTCTTGGTCCTATCAGTTGCTCTTTGCCACTCCCTAGAATAGTGTGGATTGCAATCTTCAGGAGCAAATAGAAAATTTCTATTCTCTAGGGGAGGTCAGCTAAGCTCTTTCTCTCATGAACCCGATCTAGGATAATCAAATACACTGGAAGTTGGTGAGCAAAGCAACTAGGTTACACTGGAGATCTCCTGACTGGGAATGTAAAAGGGGAAATGTCAGAAAATTACAACCCCCCTTTTGATTACTCGAAGCAGTTACTAAGGAGAGAGACAAGATTCAAATGTAAGGAGGGACCACTGAGTTCTACCATCTGTTGATGATTAAAGAAACTCTTTCCCTTAGGGAAAGGAAGGTGGGAGAAATAAAAGATGCAGGTTTCACCAGGGACTGGGGACCCTGGAGTGCTGCTCAGATCGGCCCTCTTTTTACCTCTGCCAAAGCCAGACTTCAGAGAAGCAGCACATTGCCTGGCCCGGATCAAAGCCCAGCAAACCAGGCAAACCACAAATCACAGTGATGGCACTGAACTGGGCTTCACATCATGCTGCTATACTGAGCACGGGTGATGCATTAATGAAGCCTTTCCACTCTGACTTGCAGTTTTGAGGCCATAGGCTGGTCTGGCTGAACATCCTGGGCAAGGCTCAGCAGTGGCTTGAGGGGTGGGGTGGGGAGGGGGGCGGATCCCAACCAAGCTGCTGCCCTCTCATTTCAGGCCTGGAGGCCTGAGGGTGACATAGGAAGGCAGAACTGCAGGAAGGGAGGTACCGGGTGGTGCCTGCAAAACGTGAAACACGGGTGTGGGTGGCGGCTTTGTCTAACTAGGCAAGAGTGGGAGCGAGATGGGAAAGGGGCCGTAGCATCCTCCAAGAAAGCATCTCTCCGGGAATACTTTAAAACAGGTTCTCTCTGTTCCCAATGATGGGCAAGATGGAGAGGAATCTGCAGCCATAGTTCACTTACAGGAGAAACGACTCGCTTTCCTCTCCTTTCCCCCGCTCCCCACCAGTATGACCCATCGCCCTGCCCCCTGTCCGTATTAGCCACGGATGAAGGCAGCCTAACGCGGTGTATCTCATAACCAGCCCTCGTTCCTCTTACTTCCAGACTACCAACGCCTAGGAACTGCCGTCCCCACCCTCCCAAACCCGGACCACAACAAGGGGGAGTCGCCCCCATTCCTCCCCTACGAGACTACAAAACCCGGAGAGCCGCGCGCGACTAGCAAAGCCGGCTCCGGGCTCTTGGCTCTCTCTCGGGGGTCCGCCTGGGGAATGTAGTCCACCTCCGGGCTACTGCCCGGCCTCGCACGGCCGTGAGGGCGACAGGCGACTACAAAGCCCACAGTGCTCCGCGGCACGGGCGCACGTAGGGCGGCCGCAGCGGCTTCCGGGGCTGGTAGTCACGCGGAGGCTGCAGCTAATGGAGAGCAGCGGTGGAGAGGCACGCGGGAGACTACAGGTCCCAGGGTGCGCCGCGGGGAGGCGGCGGCCCGAGCCTCGCAGGCCCCCGGCAGAATGACCAGGGCGATGAGAGGAAGTCGTGCTCTCTGCAGGCGTGGGGAAGGGGCTTACCGGTGTGTCGAAGGAAAAGGCACACTCGTCTTTGTGGACCCGGTCGCCAGCCTTGGGGACCCGGATCGTTGGTAACACTGACAGCAGCGCCTCCTCGCTCAGCTCCGCCATGATACCGGCAGTAGCTCCTCCACACACGGCGGCTCTCCCCGGTCCCAGTCCCCTACCCCTGCTCTCCTGGCCAATAAACGCTGCTCGTCGGGCGCATGCGCGGAAGGCCAGACACGCGAGAGTGGCAGTTGGACGCAGCCTGCCGATTAATGCTCCGCCCCCTGTCCTATTCTCAGCCAACGCCAATAAGGAGCTCTCTTCATTCAATTGATGGCTGAAGGAACCAATCTCACTCTGCCAGGGCAGGAGAGCGAGCGCTTCGGGGCTTTGCTTGCTGAGTCGGACTCCCACAGTCCCTACGCGTGAAGAGCAGAAATTGACGGTTGTTTAAACCTCTCAATTCCCGAAACTTTCCTGGGGACTCATCAATCTGAAAGTAGAAAGTCAGTTGTTTTCTTGGTATTTGAAAAGAGGCAGTCCAATGAGGAGTTTGAGAGGGTTACATGACTGATTGACAAGCCCCTCAACCAATAAGGTAGAAAACCATCACAGGTCCAACTGAATTGGTGCATCAGACCGTAATAATTTACAATTCTATTTTGTTTAATAAAATGGCTTGTGTGTAACACTAGAGGTCTTAAAAGCGAAGACTGGTACTCCTCAAAGTCTCGTGACGTTCAGCTCACGAGCTGATAACAAAAAGTCTTATCAGCTAGGCGTCATCCCTAGGCAAGGCAGCCTCACTCCATTGGCTCTACAATCTTCATAATAGACATTCTCGAAGACCAATGGCTTCCCGCTCTGGAGGCGGGTCTCACACAGTGGGCCTATGGGAGCCTAGTTTGGCTCAGCCAATAGAGTCGGAGTAGGGGGCGTGGCGGGAAGTTTGAAACTCGTAACTTCGGGAGTTGATTCTCAAGCAGGTTTGCACCCCTAAGTGGAGTTGGGGCCCGGTAAGTAATTTGGATAAATTAAATGAATAAGTTAGAGGGTCCAGTAGATCCAGAATGAACCCTTTGGAAAGCTTCACAAGTCGTAAGTCCTTAGCTCCGCCGAAGCCTCTGGGCCAGCGACCAGGAGGTTCTTCACCTGGAAACTGGAAAAATCAGGTGGTGTGGGGTCAGCGGTCGGACGCGGTCGCGGTACTAGCTAAGACCCGAGTCACTTATCACAGGCGTCTTTTCCTCTACCCTGGAGGGCCCTACCCCGGCCCCTAGTGGAGATGGGCTCAGCCAAGAGCGTCCCGGCCACTCCAGCGCAGCCTCCACCACATAACAAGCATCTGGCTCGAGTAGCAGACCCTCGCTCGCCTAGTGCCGGCATCCAGCGCACTCCTATCCAGGTAATGGGGCCCTGCCCAGGGAAGGCAGAGAACCCGAATTCTCCAGCTTCTGCCTAACCTGATGCTGAGGGTGTCCCTGCACCCCTAACCCCACTGGAGCCTTATTTGCTGCATTCTCAATCTTCCTGCGATGGGCTGCAGGTATGAGAGACTTAGCAACTTGGACCCAGACTGGTTCTAGCCTGTCTTGACAGGTGGAGAGCTCTCCACAAACAAGCCTGCCCACCAGAGATGAGCAGGCCCAGGACCCAGATCCTCGCTCTCCTACGCTTGGCATCGCACGCACACCTATGAAGACCAGCAGTGCAGGTGAGTGTTGGGCCCAGGGAATGCTGAGACTGTCACCTGTTATTCTTGGGTGCGGTGGATGAAGCCCTCCTCTGAGGACTCTCCTTCTACTTTGTGTGGTGCTGGGGATGGAACCCAGGGCTTTCTGAATGCCAGGCAAGTACCATGCCACTGAGCTACACCCCAGCTCCCATTCCCCTCCTCTCACATTTTGCTCCCTCTCACCTTCATTTCATTCTTCCCATTCCCTCACCAACCAGAGCCCGAGTCCTCCTTACTAAATGAATTGTAGACAAGGTCGCCGCTCTATTCACTTCTTTCCTCTAGACCTTGAGAGTCCACTGGTGAAACAGCTGAGTGAAGCATTTGTGACTGAAGCCTCGAAGTCAAATCTACCCCCAGATCCTCTTCTGCCCCTGGGAGCAGTTTCATCGTCTGAACTGGACTTGACTGTGGATGCTCATTTATCCCTGGAGGACCAGACACAACCTTGGAGTCAGACCAAGCTCCCCTCTAAGCAGGTGTTGTCCACGGAGGAAGCTAGGCAGCCCACAGAAACCCCCGTGGCCAGCCAGAGCTTGGACAAGCTCTCAGAGGACCCTGAGACTCCCCGATCTTCAGGTACAAAATCCAAGAGCAGGGTGCAGAGAAGAAAAAGCATATAACATCCATGGAGGAGTGTGGGGAGAATAAACTAAGCTGCCGGTTTTGAGTCCTTGCTTTAACCACCCTAGGTTCTAAGCGCAGTAGACGGAAACAAAACAGCAAGGTACTAGGGAGATCTCCCCTCACCATCCTGCAGGATGACAACTCCCCTGGGACCCTGACACCACGACAGGTAAAGGGAGAGGGGGGAAGCCATTACTATTGTATCCACCAGAGAGGCTGGGAGGCCCCTTACCCAGATCTTCCCTCACCTAACAGCACCCCAGTGCATATACTGCCTCCTTTTGCAGGGTAAACGGCCTTCTCCCCTGAGTCAAAATGTTAGGGAACTAAAGGAAGGTGCCATTCTCGGAACTGGACCACTTCTGAAAACTGAAGGGCGCATGTGGGAGCCAGCCCAGGACCATGACAAGGAAAATCAACACTTTCCTCTGGTAGAGAGCTAGGCCCACTGTGGGCTCAGCCGGACTCCCTCGGGCCCTGCTGATCTTGGGTCCTCTCGAACCTTCTTGCCCAGAGACTGGAGAAAGGCTTGTTTTCCTCAACTTCTCTTAAACTGCCAACTCTGGGACCTAGAGCTTTACTGGGCTTTGTGTCTTCCGTGTTTCTTGTATATTAAAGGCAGTGATTTTAAGCAGTGCTTTAGAAAGTTGTACTTGAGGTTTGCATTGGGTCTGGTGGCCTGGAGGGTCTCCCCACGGATGCCTCTGAGCCTCCTTTGCTCCCCTCCCTAAGTTGTGGTATTCCCCAGGGCTGTGTTCTGGAGTTTTATTCTCCCAAAGTGTGTATTTCTAGGGATTTAGTGTTACTTTCCTAATATTCTGGTAACTTCCACATCTCTCTCTAATCCTGATCCTTATCAAGGTGCCCATAAGCACTTCAAAGTCAGTTTGTCTCAAATTGAATTCCTGATCTTCCCCTAAAAGACATTCCTCACCTCCTGTTTCCTACTCTTGTGAATATCATCCACACCACTGCCCAAGACCATGGCCATCTAAATCCTTCCCTCTCTGTCTCCCATCTTAGCAGTCGCTTACTAAATCCTGGTGATTCTGTCTTTGCTTTTGTTGTCATTTTTGTTTTGTTTTGTTTTTGAGACAGGGTCTTGCAACACAGTTCAGGCTGGCCTCAAACTCACAGCAATCTTCCACCTCGGCCTCCTGGGTGCTTGGATATAGGCTTGTGCCACCATGCCCAGCTCTGTCCCTCTTGTATTTCTTGCCACCTGCTTCCTACCCCGTCTCCAGAGTGCCAGTCTGGCCTTCTATTCCACCAACCCATACTGTTGTCAGGGCAGTCTTCCTCAGAAGCATAACTGATCACACGCCCCTCAGAACTCTTCCAGGGCCTCCTATTGCCCTTAAAATAGTCTGGACTACAGCCTGGCATTCAAGGCCCTGCACAGGCACACACCCACACCCCGCCCAAAGGCTGTCTGAATTGAACTGTGCACACACCCCAGCCACTGGCTAAATTCACTTTCCCCTGACCCAACTCGGGCTTCTTCCTGGCCCTCTGCCTTCACCCTTCTCACTGCCGTTATCACTGCACCTGTAACATCTTGCCCTTCAGTGGGACCTAGGTCTTTGGAACAGAAGGGCGTGGAAGCCAAATGGCACAGAGGTACCAAGGTGCTATACTTTATTGCAGGTGCTTCTGGAGAGAGACAGAAGAAGGTTGCAAAGGAGGAGGCATGAAGGGAAGGGGGCAGAAACCTAGAGCTGTAGTCTCGAGGCTGAGTATCCTGTACTTTCCAGGGACTGGGGTTGGGTCCTGGGCGGTGTAGGAGGCAAAGGGCAGGTGAGGGGTCAGCTGTCCTCGCTCATGCAGGGAGAGATAGGAGGCCGTGGGAGGAGATGGGACAGTTCTGTGTCTCTGCTGCCGCCTCTCAAGGCAGATTTCCCTACTCCCCACTCCTCTCCAAGGAGGAAGCTTAGTGGCATCAACCTAGGACAGAAGAGAGAGCTTAAAAAGACTGGATGTGGGAGGTGCCGCTGAGCGTCTTCCTCTGCCGGGCTCCTCAGTTCCAGATTTTGAGGAAGCTGTCCCAGGAGCCAGTGGCCACGGCCATCCCATCAGCTGTGACCCCCAGGCAGCTGACCCTGTTGTCATGACCAGAAAGCATGCCTGAGGAGGAGAAGAAGAAGTCAGCCCACCTCCGCCTGCTGATGTGGACACCTGGGTGGGCAGGACCCATGGTGGCAGCTGCAGAGGGACTGGGAGGGTGAGACCTTGGGGGTATCTCTGGGGCCAGCTCCTTGTCCTTAACTTGGGCTGTGGATGAGGTGGGGCAGACAGGGAATGGGTGGAAATGTCAGTGTGGGGTGAGAAGCCAGGGTCTCCTCAATAGCCACAGGGACACAGGAAGGGGCAACCTTTTTGACCGGTGCTTTTGTTTCCGGATGAAGAAAGAGAGGTCCAGAAAGGGACTTGTGGAAGGGGACTCAAGATGAGGAACCAAACTAGGATGTAGACCCTGACTGGGGCCTGTGGCAACTGCCTCTCTTAAGACACAGCCAGGCTGTCTGCTTCGTCAGATGGGATGGGGGGCCCTTGGGGTGCTGTTCCTTCCAGTTCCCAAAGTTCGTGTCCCTGAACAGAACTTTGTCCCTCGGACACCTGCACAGACTGGACCCCAAGGTCCAGAGTTCCACAGCAGGACGGGCGGGGGGCGGTGTTCAGGGCCGCTCCCCCTTGGGGCATGCGGCCTAGGTGTCTGGGTCTGGGTGAGGAAGAGCTGGCAGAGGGGTGGCCTGGGGAGCCCTACCCACGCGCTCGCACTTCAGGGCATCCCAGACGTTGCAGTTGAAGTCATCATAGCCTGCGAAGAGCAGGCGGCCACTGAGCGAAAAGGCCACTGAGGTGATCCCACAGATGATACTCTCATGAGCGTAGGCTGTCAGCTCCTGGTCTGCCCGCAGGTCAAACAGGCGGCAGGAGGCGTCATCCGAGCCAGTGCAGATGGCCTCTCCGCTGGGGAAGAACTGAGGACGGGCGGGAGGGTTCGGCTCAGACCAGGGCAGCGTGGCCCCTGCCCTCACCCTCTCATTCCCCCATTCTGGGCCGAGACACAGCCCACCCCACTCATCACAAACAACTCCACCATGAGCCAGTGACTCCCTCCTCCCCAGGTGCTCCCTGCCACAGCACTATGGGCCATGCGGTCCCATATCACAGGCCCAGGGAGGGCACTGGGTCAGAGGGTTGGGGATCAGTGGAATAGAAAACTACTAAACACTTGAGAAATGCCAATGTCATGGCAGGAAAATGCTTCCAATTATTTGGGTTTGTCCTGTTGAAACTTGATTCTTGCTGTGTACCCCAGGCTGGCCTCAAACCCATAGAGATCCTCCTGCCTCAGCCTTTCAAATGCTGGGATTATAGGCTTGTGCCACCATGCTGGGGAATGGTTCCATTTAAAGACTAAAAATAGTATCAAGGAGCCAGGCACAGAGCCACACTCCCATAAGTGCCAACACCCTGGGAAGCTGAGGCAGAAGGATCACAAGTGCAAGCCCAACCTGGACAAGTTAGTGACTTGGTGAGACCCTGCCTCCCCCTCCCCCCAAAAAATTAAAAAGAGCTGGTGATGTAGTTTAGTGTGAAGGCCCTGGATTCAATCCCTGGTAAAGCAAAAAAATTTAAAAGTTGGGCCTAGGATTTAGCTCAGTGGTTCTGCCCACCTGCCTTGCAAGTACAAGGACTGAGTTCCATCCCTGGGACTAAAAATAAATAAATAAATAAATAAAATGTTGAAAAATGTGGCAAAGAATTGGATTGTGGGCCCAAACACAGGCTTGGCAGTGATGAACGCAACAAAATATACAGAATGAGTCTGGGGGAGGGCTTCTGGGGGAAGTCTTTGGTTAGTGTTGACACTGTCCTCTGAGGTGAGAAGGTTTTAGAGTGAAAACTTGGAGTCAGGCAGAGGCGGAGGCACAGGCCCAGCCGAGGCTCACGCTGATGGCGTTGATGTCTGACTCGTGGCCGGTGAAGGTCTGGCGACATGTGCCCTCCCGCACGTCCCAGAGCTTGGCACTGGCGTCGCAGGCTCCGGAGATGAAGAGCTTGTAGTCGGGAGACACGGCCAGGCTCATGCAGTCGCCCGTGTGCCCCACGAAGACGGTCTTCTGCTGCCCGGTCTCGATGTCCCACAGGGCACTGCAGGAAGAGCAGGGTGCTCAGCGTGTCCCACGCCCCCCACCCCCAGCGCCGCAGCCAGGCCTCACCATGTGGTATCCCCGGAGCTGGTCACGATGTTGTTGTCGTCCAGGAAACGGCAGCAGGAGAGGTAGCCTGCAGGTGGTACGGGGACAGTGCCTGGCCTCCCGGCCCCGCCCCTGGCCCGGGCCCAGATGGCAGGGGCCTCGCTCACCTGTGTGGGCAGCCAGCTCCCGGCTGACCTTGACGTTGCCCTCGCGCGACTTGAGGCCGTACACAGAGCACACGTTGTCCAGCCCCCCGCAGGCCACAAAGCTCCCGGAGGGGGCGTAGGCGCAGGTCATGACCCAGGAGGAACGCAGCGGGATGGCGTGCACCTGCGGCCAGGCGGGCCAGCTGAGTCCGGGACACGAGGGCGTGTCCCGTTCCGTCCCGCCCGGGGCTGGTACCTTGTTGGTGGTGTAGGTGTCCCACACGATCAGCTTTCCGTCCTGAGAGGCGCTCACCAGCAGCCTGAGGAGATGGAGACGCGTCACTGTCTCCTCCCACCTCCCCGCCCTTCCGGCCCCTGGGGCCTCACTTGGAGTCGCTGGCCCAGTGCATGGCATAGATCTTGGCCAGGTGCCCTCTGAGCGTCCGCCTTGTGCGCATCTGCACTCGTCCCACCACCTCCAGGCCAGACACCAGCTGCCAAGAGAGATTTGTCCGTGTCGTCCCCAGCCGCGGACAGCAGACCCAGCAGGTCCCCTTGCAGGCCAGTGATCTGGAGCCCTGAGGGACCCTGTGCCTGTGCAGGGTCAAGCGATGCTTCTCCAGTTTGGGGCCGCCCTGTAGACCCCCGGCTGGGTCCATTTCGGGCTTCCCCCTTGGCGGTTGCTGAACACCAGCTTGGGGAGGTGACACTGCTGGCAGCCGCATGGCTGGCCAGCTCTCCCTGGGCACCTGGGCTGCCCTCCTGGGTAGTATGGGGTCCGTGGCCCTCGAATGCCAAGGGCCTCTAGACTTGGGCTGGGGCGCTCCAGAGCCACAGATTCAATGACCATTTCTGTATTTGCTTTGTTGTCGTGGGCAAGTTACTTCACCTCCCTGAGCCTGTAGCACCTGCCTTACACAGGCAACACGAAACTGGCATGAAGTTGTATGGATTCTCCAATGTATGAAATGATGTACCTAAGCAATTTAGCTCAGCATCTGGCTCATGATAGTTACTTTTCTTATTTGTGTATGTCATCCGATCTTTCCTCTTATTAGCATATTTAATCCAGTGTGAGATGCCATCAGCACTGAGAAGCCCCATTAATTTAGGTATCACTAAGAAAAAAATGCTGCTCATTATAACTGTAAGGCATCTTCCACTGCTGGGTGCATCCTGATCTCAGAGATGTCTAATGTGCAGAAGTGTGCTTGGGAGAAGTGATGAAATACAGCCTTAGACACGTGCTACTCAGAGTCCAGGCGGACTTCACGATTGCACACAGTCTCACTCCCTTCATCCTCAGTGCCTGGGAGGGAGGGGATGGCAGCTCTCTTGTTCTATGGACCCAGACAGGGACAGTGTCTGAGTCTTAATCATCTAATACAGTGCCCTGTCAGAGCCGTTGTCGCTAAGCGTCTGTTGAATGAATTCACTAACACTTTTTTTTTTAACCAATGCCTTTCCTTTTTCCAAGCATATACCATGCCCACAGTTTGTCCCCGCCCTGCACACCCTGCTTGGTGGGGGACAGGAGGTCTCACCTCTGCCAGGGTTACATCAGCACAGGCTTTCCTGGCATCCTGCAGAGAAAGCAGACATCAGGGGTAGCTATGGGCAGGGTGGGGGACATGATGTGTGGGCCCTGGAGGGGTAGGATGGGGCTGGGGGGCTTCAAATGTGGGGTCCAGGTTAGAAGGGTCTGGGAGCAGAGGTGGCTAAGCATCTCCAAGGAGCAAACCCAGCCCTTCCCTCCAGGGCATGCCCTGGGTCCTCAGTTCCGCGGGAGGGTTGGGGTTACTGCAATCTGCTTCTTGAGTTGCTCCGCCTCCTGCCTCAGCTGCTCCATCTCCCCCATGGTGGACAGGTTGAGGGTTCACTGCAGCTCCTGCCAGGAACACGGGTGGACGCTCAGAGTCCCCACCAGGCTGTTTCTGTCCACCAGAGGGCTGGAGCCCACCCGAAACACAGAAGTGGGGGTGCCTGTGCACACCCCACCCTGGTCACTCTTCCAGCTGGCATCCAGGGCCCCAGCCCAGTCCAGCTTGTGCTGCCCGGCCAGCCCCCACTTACTTGGGCTCTGGCTGGACCTCTCCCAGGCTCTCAATGCCGGCTCCCAGGCGCCTCTTCACTCCTCAGCTGCGAAGCCTGCCTGTCGTCACTGGCCTCCTGGCTCTGCCACCAGAGGAGCTGGCCTGGCCTGGCCTGGCCCCTGCCTGGGGGGGCGGCACTGACAAGCAAGGGTAGGGCTGGGGACATCGACGTCAGGCAAATTAAATCGCGTGCACGCGCACAGGGTGTGTGTGTGTGTGTGTGACTATGGTCCTAGAAACTCGCCTCTGGCAGGAGGAGGGGCAGGGCAGGAGAGTGGGCCAGAGACGGCCAGGCAGGGTGGGTGCAGGGTCCCTGTCAGCTCAGTCTGCTGGCAGAGATAAGAGCATCAGGCCCCGCATCAGAGCAAAGCTGTGAGGATTAGGGACTAGGGCTCAGGAGGGAGCAGAGGAACAGCCCCCTGTGAGGGCCCCAGACCTGGCCTGCACCTGTGGGCAGGATCGTGGCAGTCAGGGTCTACTCAGTGGCCAGGCCAGGAGGCAGAACATGACGACAGCAGATGCTGCTGACCCCTGAACTGTGTGCCCCCAAGGAGGGTGGTGGGGAAGAGGGCTGCAGCTGGAGGGTGCAGCAGGAGCTGAGCTTAGGGAACTGAGCTGGATAATCCTCCTCGACAAAGCCAACCAGCTGCCCCTGGGCCTGATCTGGTGGCAGATCAGGGACTGGGGTCTGGCCTGCTCCTTGCCCCGGTGACTCATGGAGCCCCATGGGCTGGGAAGCAGGGGGCAGAGGGCAGGATGCCCCTGTTCAGCCTCACACAGGAGGGAAGACAGGCTTAGATTGGAGGCTGAGGAGCAGCTGGCAGGGAACTGGTTCATTTGCATACGGGAGCAGGTGGCAGAGATTTCCCTGACAAATTGCAGGCTCCTGCGCCCTGCCTCTGGGAGGCCCAAAGACACCTGTCTCCTCCTGGGCCAGTCCAGTCCCTGCCCTCCAGCCCCAGATGTGGTGACACCTCAGACAGGGCTCTTGGAGGGGCACAGCCAGGGATCGGTGCTTCAGTCCTTTATTGCATAGCGAAAAGGGAGAACACAGCACCCGGGCCCTCATGGTGGGCACTCAACCTTGGCCCTGGCCTTTGCTTCAGGGAGGCAGTGTCCCCCATCTGTCTCAGAGCTGCAGGTCCATCAGTGGGGGGCCAAGCCCGCTCTAGGTGTGGTGACCATGCTGAGTCCAGGCTGGGGCCCCAGGGCTCTGAATGGTTGATGTAGGACGGTGAGCTCACTGGGCGGCTCCTGACGTCAGAGGGGCCTTCTCGAGGTCCTTTCCTGGCCAGCTGGCCACAGCCAAGGTCCGGCTCAGCTTCTCACAGCTCCTCCCGGACCCGGGGCACCTTCCCAGCTCCGTCATGAACCCACTGGGGCTGGCGGCTGGGGGGCTCCGGGCCAGGCTCTCTGCTGGGTGCTTCCTCCTCCTCCGCCTGCTCCTGCTCAGGCTCCTGTAGCAGCTGTTTGGCCTCTGCCCACTCCTGGGGAGCAGGGAGGAGGAGTGGAGCCCAGTCCTGGGGCCTCTCAATCCCTGGAGAACCACATCCCTTCGGCCCCTACCTCCTCACCTGCTCCTGGTGCTCTGGGGCCCATGTGTGCCATAGTGCCAGGGCACAGCGCCGCCCCCGTGTCACGGCCCATACCCCGTGAGGGTTCTCCACGCCAGAGCTGAAGGCCACGAGGCGTCCACATCGGGGACGGACTTGGGCCTGGGGGCACGGGTGGGCTCAGCTCTGGGGAACCAGCCTCACCCTCCCAGGTGGCTCTCTCCTTCACACCCTAAGCCTAATTCAGGGACACCCTCTACTTGGGCCCATGGGAAAGCAGCCTCCACTTGGGGAGCAGAAAGGGCTCCCCAAGGAGCTGGAGTCCAAGCTGGGAGCTGGGAGCAGTCGGGGGCCTGAGGGTCACAAGTTCAAGGCCAGCCTGGGCTATATAGTGAGATCCTGTCTCAAATGGAAAAAGAAAAAAAAAACCCAAACCCAAACAGAACCTTTAAAATAGTTACTGTAGGCCTGGCGCACAGCTCTGGAGGAACGCTTGCGGAGCATGCACAAGGCTTTGGATTCAGTCCTCCATTAAAATAAACACATAAACAGGTATGGTTATCACCCCCGTTTAGGAAACCAAACCTTGCGGGGATAAAAGGCAAAACCGGGCTCCATGCCCAGGAAGGACTGGTTTTTAATTTCCTCAAACCCTTAAAACAGGAAATGGGATTGCAGTGGGATCCAGACTAAGCTTCTTTCGCCTTCCATGTGTGTTTTTCTGCTTTTGAGACAGGTCTTGCTATGGTGCCCAGGCTGGCCTCCAACTCCCGGCTAAAGAGGTCCTCCTGCCTCGTCCTCCCAAGCCACTGGGAAGGCAGGCATGTGCCACTGCACTTGGCTACACACACTCTCCCTTAGGAGGCAAGGCAAAGTGTCTAGGGACCACTGAGAGCCCTACTGGGGGGACTACAGCCAAGATTCCTGACCCCAGTGAGGTGGCTGGGACCTGGAGAGGCAGGTGACCCAGCCATTTTCCTGTATTTGCCTCTGGGAGCCTTCTGCTTTGAATCCTGACCCCACAGCTGGGCCCTGTGTCATCCCAGCCCCTTCGTCACCCACCGTGACAGTAAGGGCGTTTGGCTGTGTGAAGAACAGGTCCCCACCCTGGAAGTCATCGTTGAGGTAGAGGACTCCGCTGAGGAGGAAGAGGACAGCAGAGTGGGGCCCCACCCAGGCCGGGCAGCGAGGGAGGCCTTTGTGGGCCCACTAGCCTCACCTACCTGTAGTCTCGGTAGGTGTAGGCAGGGGGCTCCCGCCAGCACTCTCCTGAGTCGGGGTCCAGGATGCAGTTGTCTGCGTGCACGGGGTGGCTCAGGTCCATGCGCTGGCCCTGCTCCCCTGGGCATATGCCACGGGCCAGTGAGCCCCTGCAGCCCTGCCCACCTCCCAGCCGACTCGAACAGCCCCCGAGCATCCTGCAACTCTTGGGGCCACAGAAGTCAGGCCCCCCTGGGCAGCTGGTCAGGGTCTTCCCAGAGAGAATGACTGGGCTGTGAGGCAGTGCAGTTGGCGGGTAGGGGCGGCCCGGTGGCTACCTTCTATAGCGCTGCGGCACACCAGGTGGGTGAAAGACAGGTAGAGAGGCCGCTCCGGGGAGAAGTAGGCCTGGGTCAGGGTCCGCACCCGCTCGCTGGCTTCCAGGAACAGCTTTGCACCCTTACTGCCCACGGTGCCAGCTTGGGCCAGCTGTGGGAGAGTAGGCCGGGCAGGGAAGAAGGGAGGCAATGGTGAGGGCCTGACCTCCCCCTGGCCTATCTCCTCTGCTCTCCACCCAGGCCTCGGGGCTCAGCAGCCAGCTCTGCCCATCTTCACTGTGATGACAGCACCCTGGATCCCCGAACACCCCCTTTCTCAACCCTGGCCTAGTCTTGGTCGCAGAAGAGCTCCCCCTCAGAAGCACAGGCCCTTGAGCCAGCCCAGGCAGGATGCCCCCTCTCACCTGTGCAGCCTTGAGCACGGTGAGCCCCTCAAAGCGCTCATGGGGGGTGTGAGGGGAGCGGCGACCTCGATAGCCAGACCTGGCTCCGGCCCCAGCGGCATCCTGGATAGGAAGGGAATTCACATGGGGTCTCCTCTCTCAAGCCTCTCGGAGCGTGACAGTGCTGAAGCTGTTTCCTGGGAAAGGCCTACGGCTCGGCTCAGGAATGGGAGCTCCAGCCACCTCCGGGGAGCTGTAAGGTGGGAGGAGGCCCCACAGGCCTGTGGCACCTGTGCAAAAATGCTTTTTCCACAGCGGGGTCTCCCACTATTGGGGTGTCTGCAACTGGGGCCCTTCCCTTTTCTGACATCCATTTTTCTATTTTGAAATCTCTTGTTTAAATACCACTGCCTCATGCCCCTCACACAGACTTCATCTCCGAGAGACCCCCTCTGCCTCACCCAAGCCATCTCACTTTAATTATGCTGAAGATGAAGCCAGGACCCTGTGCACGCCCAGCAGAGCTCTCCCACTGGGCCACACCCCCTGCCAAAACCTTCTACTCTTACTTCTGTTCATCCTGCGTGAAGGGAAGGTCCCTGCTCTTGTTGGATTTTTATTTGTTTATTTATTTAGTGCCCCCCTTTTGCCACAGGGTTTTGCTAAGTTGCCCCCTATGGCCTGGAACTTCCGATCCTCCTGTCTCAGCTTCCCAAGTAGCTGAGTTTATAGGCATATGCCGCAGCACCTACCTGGGATTTCTATTTTGAGGTAATAAAAATAAACAAAGAAACAAATCAGACCAATTCCTATGGCGAGAGTGAGGCGAAGATAATTAAAACACCCTGAGAGTGACCGGGCAGCGGCCAAGGATAGCTAACTGCAGAGGAGACACCTAAACCACAATCACAGCGGTGCTCCATCAGGGAAAAACAGCCATGGACAACGGTGTGGAGGCTGGAAAGCGTTCAGGATGTCAACAAGCTGAAAGAAGTCTGACCTTTGGGAGTTAGCTGTGCCTGTCCCATCGTCTTCCACCTCAGCTTCTCCATCTTTTCTTCCTCCTCCAGACACTGTCTCACTAGCAGTCTGGGCTAGCCTAACACCCACTATGTTGCCCAGGTTGGCCTGAAACTCTTCATCCTCCTGCTTCAGACTCCCAAGTGGTGGATTACAAGCTTGTGCCACCACACCCAGCTGATCTTTGGTTTTCTGTGTCTTTCTCATCTATTTCCTCTTCCTCCGGGGAGATAAGAACCTCTCTGAAGGGCTGGGGACTTAGCTCAGTGGTTCTGGTGCCTGCCTCGCAAGCGCAAGGACCCGAATTCAATCCCCAGCACACCGCCCCCACAAAGAACTTCCCTGAAGCAGCCGGCAGGAATCATGCCTGGGCTTCCCACCTCCTCTCCCACTGCATTCTGCACGCCGCCACTAGAGGGAGAGCCAGCTCCTACACAATGCTGACTCCCAACCCGCACTCAGAGGCGCTACAGAAACGGAAGTCGCCTCCTAAATCCTGCCCGCCCGGCCACCAACATATCCCACATGCCTTGGCAGGGGGCAGAGGGGCTCTCCAGCACCCGCCTGGGCTTTCTCCATCTTCCCCTTTACGGCTTTTGATAATGCACAGCCCGATGGCAACAATGACAGCTCTCCCATCTTGTGAGTGCTGCCCCATGCTCATTCCCAGAATCCTCACAGAATCTTCATGAACCATCTTACAGATGGGAAACTGGTCTCAGAGAGGCTTGAATAAGTTTCCCTGGATGAGCCAGGCATAGTGGTGCACGCCTGCACTGGGGAGGCTGAGCCAGGAGGATTGCCCGTGAGTTCGAGGCCAGCCTGAATTGCATAGAGACCCAGTCTCAAAGCACAACATGACACAACAACAAACTTCTTTGGTGCTCTACTGCAGTTCCCAGAATGCACCTGCTTCCTTCTTGCTCTTTTTTCTTTCTACTACTGGCAATCAAATCAGGGCCTTGCACGTAACAGGCATACACTGTACAATGGAGGCTCACCCTGGCTCATCCCTCAACACTGTCTTGAAATGGGGTCTCACCACATTGCCCAGGCTCTCCCGAGCTCCTGGTCTCCAGTGATCCTCCTTCCTCAGCCTCCTGGGTAGTAGGACTACAGGTACATGCCCCTGTGCCCGTCTGCCAGGTTAAGACTGGCTTAGGCTTAAGCTAAGCCCCAAGGAGGCTGCATTTCAGTGCGGCCGGGATGAATACACGCTCCTTTATCCAATGAGCCACATGCTGCTTCAGCCTTCTCTGTGCACAACCTGTCTGCACACAAGCTCGCAGGGACTCTGCAAGCGCTGCTGAATGAGCAGGAGCCTAGAATAGGACCAAAGCTTCAGGAGCCGGGAGGGGACGCAGGGAGAGGAAAGAAGCCTGCAGGTCGCCATGCCCACGACTCCACTTCTTGACTCTGTAACCCAGGGCCTGCACACTCGGCTGTTTCTATGCCTCTGCAGCTTTCTTCTCTTTTTCCTACCAACTCCTAGCAAACTTTCTCCTTAGAGAACATGCACCCTGAGCCAGCTAAGCTAAGCAGTGGCGCTAGACAATGGAGGATCCCCAGCTGGGGCTTGGTTCCCATGGCCGTCAGGATTAGAACCTGGAGCCAATAGGTTTAACAGGTCCGCCGGAAGGCCACGCCCACGGAGCAGGCTACTCCCACGGGGCAGTTTAGGCACCCCCCCTCGGCGGCGAGCGCACCTGTGCTAGCTCCAGCAGAGTCCCACACTCAGCCGGCGTCAGCAGCCCGTCCAGCACCGCTCGCTCTGACCCGTTCAGCTGCCTGGCATCCTGGGTCAGGGTCACCCCCTCCAGGGGGAGGACATCTACAGGTGAGATGACAGGACAGTCCCAGGACCCTCAGAGCGCAGGCTCAGTGGGGCAGATGGCCCAGACCTTGGGCTCACCCCAGAAGCTCACCCTTCCAGTGGGTCCAGGGCTGTGGCTCTGCAGGTTCATGATCCCAAGGCTTCTTCTCCTGATCCTCTCTTGGGTGCAGACGCGCTCAGTGGGTGCACAGGCTAGCCCAGACCCTGCCCTTTCCTCCCACCCGAGGGCGCCCCCTACCTGAGCTTTGCCCTGAGTGCCTCCGGGATGAGATATTCTGGGGTCCAGGGATCCTGTGACCACCAAGAAAAGTCCATCACCCACAAGTCCAGCCCAGGACCCCAACATTAGTCTCTCACACCATTCTGAGGTCCTCCTGCTTCTGGTGGGGAAGGCAGAGAGGGGGAAAGCCCAGGGCCCAACATTAGGGCGGCTGAACAAATTTACTTAGCACTTACTACCTGTCAGGCACTAGTCTAAGAGATTTGCACAAGGAAGGGGAATTTCCCATTTTGAGGCCACAAGGGTATTAGGGAACAGTGTTAACAGCTAGTCTGTAGTTGACAGGCCTGAGACAGGGCAAGTAACCAGCTCAAGATCACACAGCTAGTGAGAGACAGAGCAAGGTATACTGTAGCTCACTGCCCTCAGTTCTGTCCACGGCTCTCAGCCTAGGGCCATCAGGTGATGTCTAGAAACACTGCTCACTCACCACTCTGGGCTCTCCATGTGCTGCTGACATCTGCTGAGTGGAGGCCACAGATGTTGCTGAACATTCAACAACCAACCCCTTCCCTGCCCCAGCAAAGAATCACTGGGTCCAAAATATCTGTCATGGCCCTGCACATGCCGGGCAAGGGCCCCGCACAGCCATATCCCAGCCCTCAAAATACCAGTAGAGAATCGCTGCTGCATGCTAGCGCACCAGCTCAGGGAGCTCTGCCCTTCCTGGCCACAGGGAGGGTGATGACAGCGGCAGAACAGCACTCTCTACTCTGTACCAGGTGACACAGCTTCAGCCAGGTGCAGTGGTACAGGCCTGCAACCCCAGCACTCTGAGAGGATGAAGCAGGAGGATCTCAAGTCCAGTGTCTCAAAATACAAAATGAAAAGGGGGTGAGGAGCACAGCTCAGTTTAAAGGCCTTGGGGTGAATCCCCAGTACCCCTCCAAAAAATATACATAAATGTTCTTCAGCAGCCCTGTGGAACAGAGGTCATCACTGGGATGAACAAGTAAGGAAACTGAGGTGGGAGAGCTAAGGTCTGGGCCATTTGTACCAGAGGACTAACTGACTCAGCTTGAGTGGCCCCAGAGCCACGTGAACTGCAGGACCATGCCTCTGAGCCTGGGCTGGGGAAGGGGCGCACAGGGCGCTGCTGCCCTGACCCCACTCACAGGGTCCTGGAAGCGGGCACCCAGGTGTTCCACGGCGTAGTACAGCTGCCTCTTCTCCCCCAGGGACCGAAGCACGAAGCTCTGAATGTCCTGAGGGGCAGGTGGGAGCAGAAGGAGGCAAGGAGGGGGAAGCCTGGAGGAGGGCAGGGCACCCCGGTTCTCAGCCTTCCCTGCACTCCTGGGCTCTGGGCTCAAACTGGGGAGAAGTAGGAGACTGTGTGTGCATGTTTGTACACGTGCATACATGTGCGTGGGTGTGCATGTGTGTGTGCACATAAGTACAGGTGGGGGCAGGCAAGAGGAGGCAAAGGGAAGAGTGGGGCTGGGGGCTGGACTCCGTGGGGAGCAGGGAATGAAAGGAAGTCAGAGGTCGGACTTGGGATCCCCAGGCTGGCTGGAGTACTAGGTGAGAAGCCAGAACACTTCCCTAGGGTCAGCACTACCTCTCTGGGTTTGAGGCGCAGCCCCTGCTCCCCCAGCTGGGCCTGGCACTGCGTCAGCGCCTGCTGGGCAGCTTCGTCCTCCGGGTAGAAGAGCAGGACACCCAGGGCATTTTCCACGGCTTGAGACAGATTCCCCACTGGAGACGGAGGATGGGGCGGGGACAGAGGCGGACGCTAGGCAAAAGCAGAGCTGGCGAACGCGTCACCTGGCCCCAGCTGGCCTGGTACACGAGCCCACCCCTTGCTCCTTTGCAGAGCTTACTTGACATACCTTTGCCAGCAGAGGCCAGAGCAGAGGAAGAGAGGAGGAAGGAAAGGAAGGTGACAGGCAACGAGGGCAGAAGGAGCCCCAAGACAGACCCATCTCCTGAGAGCTTTGCACAAGGGCTCCAGGGAAGGGAAGCGAACTGAGCATCCTCCTGAAGTGATGGTCCCCAGGGGCCCTGCCAGTGAATTACAGATCCAGAGATAGGGCTTGGAAGACCCCCACAGGTGGACCCAGTGTCCCTGCCCATGCCCACCCTGTCCCAACTGACCCTGAGCATGGGCCTGGTACAGACACCTCAGCTGGCTGGGGAAGAAGTCGGGGACAGGGAGGCTGCGGCCAGGACGCGTGGCAATGTCAGCCACACAGCGCTGCCGGCACTGCAGGACCCGAATCCAGCATCCTGCCAAAGACACAGGGCAGCTGTGGGACTGTGCACTCTGCGCTGGGCCCCTCGCCCCGCCTGGGCTCCCCCTCACCTGCGATGGCCTCATAGAGGCCACCCTGGACACCAGCCCCATCCTCCTCTTCCTCCTCCTCCTCTGTTTCCTGTTCCTCGGGCCCCTCACAGGAGGCCCGGCAGCTCTCCACCTGGGCCAGGCTCCCCTGCAGGGCCTCCTCCAGCCTGGGCAGTGCCAGTCCCCACTCCTGGCGAGCCAGGAGCTCCAGGCCAGCATCGTGGTCAGCCTGCGGGGAGGGGAGCACTCAGTCAGCTGACAGATGGGGGACAAGCCTGGGTAGAGGGCAGCACAGAGGGGAGTGGTCCCCATCTGGGACTTGGGCCCCTGGCTCTGAGGAGCCTTGGGAAGAGTACTCAAGGCCTGAGAATCAGAGCGTGAGCGTACCAGACTTGTGATCCCAAAGGACCTGCTATCCAGGGCCACGAGGACCAGGGCCCAGCTCTCCCACTGCCCAAACCACACAGTCCTCAGCCCAGAGCGTCCAGCTGTCTCCAGAGTGGGGCCAGGTGGGGGTGGGGGATGTCACTGAGGCCTCACCCAGTATGGTGGCGTCTCCAGGTCCCGGAAGCTCTGGGGCCGGACCCCCGACATTCGTCTGTACTTGGCTATGTCTTCCCGCATCTGCAGATGCATAGGGTTCATCACGAAGAAGGTGTGTGCTGCAGTGGCTGCCTGCTCCCGCTTCTTCAACTGAGGGGCGGAGGACGGGCATCAGGGCGGGCTGGTGCGCAGACTTCTGCCCTGGCCCCAGCTCCCTCGGCAGAGCTTCCTAGAACCCAGGTTGTGAGCCTATCAGGAGCCTGGCGCCTAAGCACAAGGCTTCTCTAACCTGGAGGGGGGAGTGGTTGGAGGGGTACTGGCGACAGCGTGGAATAGATGACGAAGGGGGGACCTCCGGGGACAGCCAAAGCAGCGGTCTCTAGGACCCTGCGCTGAGGTGTTGTACCCAGCGGCCAGCTCCCAGGCCACGTAGGCATCCGACACCAGCCGCGGTCGGAGGCCTCGGCGCTCCCGCCAGCTTCGGGCCTCGCCTCGTGGGCTGCTCCGACCTTCCCGAAGCCCTGTGCAACACGCACAAACGCCCATTCTGTCCTGCGCGGGCGTAGCCCACCGCCCTCGCCTTCCCCTGCGAGAAGGGCAGCGCTCACGCCGCCCAGCCGCCCTGAGGCAGGCGGCGCAGGGCTGTAATCCCAGGGCTTGGGAGGCTGACGCAGGAGGGTCGCCGCGAGTTAGAGGCCACCCTGGGCTACATAATGAATGCAAAGCCAGCCTGAATTACAGAGCGAGTCCTTGTCAAAACCAGCAAAACAAAACCACTAAACCAAAGCCCTCCATCTTCGCTCCGGCCCCACCCCGCCC